GAACAAGAAGAGCAACTCGCGTCGCACTCCACTTTGTATTTTGTTGTCGCGGAATTCAAATCGCGATTTTCTCGACATTTTCCATAAACGCTGTGGTCATGTCTTAGCACGCGCTGGCTCAAATAAACAAGGAAGCACAGTGTGCTGAAATGGGCTCGTCTGTAAGGCTAGAATAGTAGATTATTTTTTCGTACTGTTCATATTTGTTAGAATATTTGTTCGTGATTTTGCTATTCTTTGCAACATTGGTAAATAGTGATTTTTGGGTGAACAGGGCACATTTTAGTGCTCTTTTATTGCTTGTTTTTTGGATGAATTGGGCGCAGCATCTGGGGCGAAAAGTGGTACAAGCGTGGTGGTGCTGGTGGTACCGTGTGTGACGCCCCTGGACTCTATAAAGCCCAGTGCCTCAACTTTAGCAACACCATAACAGGTGTCTCCTGTCTGCCAATATTCCGGTGATGGAGTGGTTATTCTGCGGGAAGCAATGACTTTCAGACACACCCGTGACCGTAAACTTGCGAGTCAAGCGGGCTTTCTCATAATACGAGTGCATGCAGTGAAGATGCACTCTCACTTGTTTTGCATTCCTGTTGCCTGTACTGTATGATTTCTTGCTAGCAATACAAAAGAAACAACAAACTGTAAATGTCACCTGCAGTTACACAATATTTTTTGATGTGTGCTGTGCTTATCGTTGTGCCCAGGAGATACTGCTGATCTGCCAAGTATCAGTGAACTCGAAGCAGCAGAGCAGGAGGCAGCCAGGTTGGGCGGTACGACCGTCATCCATTTCCTGCACGTGGCAATACTTGGTGCGGCGCGCGTTGGAAAGACCAGCTTGCTGAAGGCGTTGCTTGAGAAGATGCACGATGAGAATGAACTCAGCACGCCCGGCATGCGCACGTCCTACGCAACTACAAGCATCTCTGATGACTGTCGATTCATCGAATGCCCAGACATGCCAGATGCTCTGAGTCGACTCTACGTCCTCACCATGATGTGCAAACCATCCACTTCGAATCATCCCCAAGACAAAGAGACAACACAAGATGACAGAGAGAGAGCCCCAGCAGGAGAGGATCCTGTGGATGGGACCCATGCAGGACCTATGGAGGACAGCAGTAGCAGTAGCAGCAGCAGCAGCAGCGACGGGCCAGCAATGCGCGAGGAAATCCACAAGACCATCACAGGATTTCTCAACGCAGACCGGGTAAAGTACATCTCTGACCGGGCCAACACGCCCGACTATACCGTCATCACATTCCGCGACCTTGGAGGGCAGCAAGTCTACCAATCCGTGCAGCCCCTCTTCATGGCCAAAAACACAACCTTTATTGCCACATACAACTCTTCTCTGGACCTTCTAGAGACCCTTCCCAAGCTCGATAAATTTCAGTTCAGCCAGGAAGAATGTATCGAGCGGGCCACTCTACCGGCCAATGCGACTCGCCTAGACCAGCTGCTAAGCTGGCTCGACATGCTGCTGCTGAATGCGAAAGCTGACAGCAGCACAGACCAGAGTGCTGCAGATGATGTGTTTGTAGTGGGGTGTCAGAGTGACATGTGGAAGAAAACCGATTTGCCTGATCCTTGTAAACTACTTCGAAAGAATATCGAAGGTTCGCCGTATAAGAAGCTTGTCTGGAACGAAACATCGTACTTCAAAATCGACAGCACCAGATCCACTGGAAGTGCAGCACAAGCAGATGAGCTGCAGCGATTGAGAGAGGCCATCATCGACCGCTGCCGGAAGAGCCAACGTAACATCCCTGTTCCATGGCTCCGATTCTGCATAACAATACACACGCTCAAGCAGGAGGTCGCGTGGCCTTGGATTTCCTTCAAGGAGGCAAAGTTCATAGCGAAGCAAGTCAAGGCTGTTCCACATGACTGCAGTGACCGGCAAATACAGCTGCTGCTGAAGTACTGCCACGAAGCAGGCCACCTGGCGTACTTCCCAACTTTCAAGCTGAAAGACACGGTCATCCTTGAGCCCCAGTTCATCCTGGACTGTGTCAATGCCTTTGTCTACATGAAGTTTGACCGAGACATCACAATGCACGAAGAGCGGCGCTATAAGTCTGGGTTCATGACGGAGTCCCTGGCACGCAAAGCTCTCAACAAGATGTTCGAGGGTCAGTCTTACTGCGACCATGCTAAGGCGTGGCAAGCAGTCAGAGCAAGCAGTGATGGGTTCAAGCTCATTTTTGAAATCCTAGAATGGCTCTCAGTCCTGGCAATTGTGCAGGATGAGCACGAGTTTATTGTACCTGCAATCGTCCGGGACATGGGCACGGACCCCCAGCTGCCTTTTTCCTGTGCCTACGTGTCCTTTAAGCACACAGACAGCGATGAGTTGATGCACTTTCCCGTGTTCCTGTATTGGCAATGCGTGGTGGAGGTGCTGCTGAAGTCACACAATCGCTCGGCTGCCACGCTGTCACGGTGCAGCGTTCGCCTTCGCTGGAACAGCGTTTGGCCGTGGCTGCACCTGCACTATACACGCTACGGCTTACAAGTGTACGTCGAGTGCGAGGGCCGACACGGCGGCAGCGGAAAGTCTACGCTGGATGAAGTCCGGGCAATCGTGCTCACAGTGCTACGGAAGTGGGGCCTGCAGGTCGAAGTGATCAGCACATTACCATGCCCCTGCGGAGAAACATCGGGCGAGGAGTGTTTACAGCATGGCTTATCTACGTGCTGCGCACCAAGCTGTGCGCACGCCTTGGACACTTCCAGCCTAGTGGCTGAAGACTACCCACTGTGTACACGTTCAAAGAAGCGGGATATACAGATGATCCGTGAGCAGGCCATTTTCTGGCTGGGCCTTGACCAGGTGAGAGCCTTGACCTGATTGAATTCCCGCAGCTATGCAAAAGACATTACGTTAGTAGCGCCTGTCGCTAGCTTTATTTCATAATATTATGTTTTTGTGGGGGGGGGGGGGGCACGAACCAAGAGACAATTTCCACCAGGTCTTGTTGTAATTCTTTATTATCTCTGTTTAGGAGGAGAGTGCTTCACACACAAAGTTGCACCATGTCTCTATTTTCTTAAAACTTGCCACGTATTCCCGTCATGTGGATGAGGAGATAACCATTTTGAGCCTACTCTGACTTCGGCAATTATGGCTTGTGCACGTGCGTGTTTGCATGCATGTGTGCTTTTGCTCGTGTGTATTTACATGTATTTGTGTGTGTGTGTGTGTGTGTGTGTGTGTGTGTGTGCGTGCGCGTGCGTGCGGGTGTGTGCGTGCGGGTGTGGGTGGGCATGTGCGGGTGTGTGTGTGGGTGTGTGTGTGTGCGTGAGTGCGGGTGTGTGTGCGTGTGTGGGCGTGGGCATGTGCTGGCGTGTACTTGGTCTCTTGCAATACCTGCAGGATGCATGTGGAAGGCTGTTTGACCCGAGATCGACCTCTCTTCCTTCAGGTTAGTTGGATGCACAATTCAAACAGATCTGCTACTTCCAAATGATGTTTTGCATGATGTCTGCATTCGTGTGAACCTTTAGTGGCAAGGAAACCGGTACGCTGTTCTATTTTCGTTTTGAGCTAGCTATTCCCGTTCGGGTATTGAACACTGCATGAGCACAGGACCATATCTGCTGTGGATAGAATGTAAAATTTGAGCCTCTTCTCACCGCAAGCTGGTGTTTGATCCCAGCCAACACTGCAGTTCTGACTCTGTTTTGGGCCCTGGACAACTGACATTACATTGTCATAGAATTGCTATGGGGTCGCTGTCATATTTTGTCGCCCTGAAGCGAACATCGTTCGTGACAGAGGAGGAGGAGGGTGCGAGGTCGAAAATCATAACTTGCTCTACAATGCACTACGTATACATGCACTTGATGTGTGGTGTCCAGCATTGCAAACTGTGTTCATTTTGGAGGAGTGAGGGGTCCATCCGAGTACGAAATGAACCATGTTTGTTTCAGTGGCGACAATAAACTTCTGCAACAAACCGTGTGTGCGTGCCCACCTGTGTGTGTACATGTATACGTTGCATCTGCATTTGTGTGTGTGTGTGTGTGTGTGTGTGTGTGTGCGTGTGTGTGTGTGTTTGTGCATGTCTCTTGGCCACTCCAATGGCACGCCGTCTGTTTCCTTGCAGCAGAAGCCTGTGCCAGTGTGGACAGTAGAAGCGGTGGTCACGGTGCTCCAGGAAGCGGTCATCACAGCGCTGGTGAAAGCGGTGTTCTTGACCAACAGCTCTCTGACATGACAGCATGGGAGAGTGACGTCTTCACAGAACTTCGGCCTGACCTGGTTTCCACGCTAACTCCAGGTGATATGCGTCGCCAGTGTGAGGCTAAGAAGTTGATTACGCGTGCACAGCGTCAGCTATTTGCATCAAACACTGGCCGTGCAGCGCAGAATGAGGAATTGCTCGATGCACTAAGCACTGGTGATGACGAATCCTTCCACACCTTCCTTGAATGCATCCGTAAAGTCGAGCCACCAGCCAGCGCGAGAAGGTTATTGGCCAAGCTGGAACCCGTCGACAAGTTCCGGGCAGCCCGGCAGTACTGCTGAGGCCGCATTAGCGTCTGCAGGAGCATCTGCTGCTGATCCAGTGGGTAAGTAAAGAGCAGTAGGCTGTACAGGCAGAGGCCAGTTGGGACTTTTGCAGCTCCATAGTTATTTCCGTGGTTTTGGCAGGCCAGCTGGCATCAGGCCAATCTGAGGGCTTTAAGTGGCTAGCTAGCAAGCAGTAGGACTAGGAGGAGTAGTGCGATGGCAGTAGGGCAGTAGCTTTCCAGAATGCCTGAGATTCATTGCAAAATTGATGAAGGGAAACTGAAGTTGTGGTCCGAACAGCTTCCATTTGTAGGGCGTACGGCAATTTTCCGGAATGAATTTGGCACCTATTGGGTATTGAATCCGATTGGGGTATGGCAAGATGTTGAAAAACCCGTATTGTGATTTGTGAATTGTAAATCATTTTTCGTATGTTTGTTCATGTGTGTGTTTTTATCCCATGTATATCTTGATTAGACGAGGATGAGCGTACGGCGACCCATTCCAGCAGCGTGTCTTTCTAACCGATATTTCGCCTTGGTTGGGCAAATAAACAGCGGGAACATTTCGTAAAATGGCGCAAGAGGCCGGGTTATTCGCCGATCTGCAGCAGATAGAAGACTTGAAGAGGATTGAGAAACTAGATGGAACACGCACTCACAACGGAGAGTTGGTCAACATTCTAAGCAGCGAGGAAAAGGCCGGCTACATCAAGCTAGTGATGATCATCAAACGCTGGGGTAACTATCCCGACAAGGTCGACAAGATGAACCAGCTTCTGCCACGACGGGCCCGTGTGTAAACGGTAGGTTGCATTCATTTCTTGCACTACCTGAATTCAAAATAAGTCATTGCAACGTACGTCTGTTGTTTGGCTGCGATGCTGTGTTTCTCATCAGATATTGTCCCAGCTGTGATAGAAAGTATGCTGTTGAGGTATCCGTTATGCATGAATCAAATTGGAGAAAAGTCAAAGTTTCTGACGACTGGAAAATTGGAGCGCATGTACTACTATATGAGCCAGGGACTATAGAAACCGCCCTACGACGTTTGATATCAAAATCAAGTTATGACGTTTCAAAGTCACGTGACTCAAAGTTACGCAAAGCGCAGAACTCGTCACGCTTGTTTTGACAAGACTCAAGAGCTGTCCTCTTGTTAGGACTTAGGTGTTCGGTGAAGGATTCCGAGCTCGAGCGATTGTCGAGTAACTCAAGAGGCTCCACTTACTGTGATTGATTATGGCTACAACATTTAGTAGACGACGCAGCTCGAAGGGTGGCGGAGGTATAGAGGCGCTCTGGCAGGATTTTACAGTGCATCTAATACTTCTCTCTTTCTTCTTACATGTGTGTTCGGGTGACATTTGATCCTTCCTGTATTCCATGATGACATTTGGCTCAGCATCGATGTTCAAATGTGTTTCTCTTTAAATAGAAGAAATCACATGGAAACGAGTTATGAAGCAACTATCCACGACTGTAACAAGATAATAAACGGTCAGAAAGTGCGATAACAGGGCACGAAACTGAAATGTTTCTGAGACATTCAACGACCTCTTTACTCTTTCTTCTGACATGTTTCTTCAGGCGAGACATGGAACCCGTACAACCTGCGCTATCAGCTGCACAATGTTCGGGAGAGGTTAGCCAAGAACTTGGTGGAGAAGGGCGTGCTGACCACCAGCAAGCAGAACTTCTGGCTCTTCGACATGACCACTCACCCGCTTGTCGACCAGACCATCAAACAGAGAGTCGTCGAGAAGGTGCGTGCTCTGACCTGATGTGTGTGTGTGTGTGGGGGGGGGGGGGTTGGGGGGTAGGCAAAGCCCGATTTTGACAGTGAAGCTTAGATATTTTGCTCTCCTTTTGCTCTGATCCGAGGCCAAGTTTGTGTCACATGTGAGAAAACCGATCGAAAGTGGATCACATGTTGGCAAACTAAGAAAAAAATGAGTCACGTGTTGGCAAAAATGTGCGGAGATGAGTCACGTGCACCGTAGAAGTGTGAAATCTCCCAATTTCCAACGAACATACCGATATTTTGCTCCGTTTTGCCAGCAAATTCCCTTGTCAAAATTCTTCGATATTTTGCTAACAGAATTGCTAGCAAAATCGGGCTATGTCTAGTGTGTGTGTGTGTGTGGGGGGGGGGGGGGGGGTGTACACTGGAGGTGTGTGTGTGTGTGGGGGGGGGGGTGTACACTGGAGGTGTGTGTGTGTGTGGGGGGGGGGGGGGGGGTGTACACTGGAGGTGTGTGTGTGTGGGGGGGGGGGGTACACTGGAGGTGTGTGTGTGTGTGTGGGGGGGGGGGGGGGTGTGCACTGGAGGTGTGTGTGGGGGGGGGGGGGGGGGGGGGTAGGCAGGGATGTGTGCATGTGGGGGCGATGAGATGGGTAGGCAGGCATGTGTGCATGTGGGGCCGATGGGATGGGTAGGCAGGCATGTGTGCATGTGAGGGCGATGGGATGGGTAGGCAGGCATGTGTGCATGTGAGGGCGATGGGATGGGTAGGCAGACATGGACGTGCTTTGCTTATTGTCTGGAGGTGTGGTGTGTGGGGGGGGGGGGGGGGGGGTAGGCAGGGATGTGTGCATGTGGGGGCGATGAGATGGGTAGGCAGGCATGTGTGCATGTGAGGGCGATGGGATGGGTAGGCAGGGATGTGTGCATGTGGGGGTGATGAGATGGGTAGGCAGGCATGTGTGCATGTGGGGGCGATGGGATGGGTAGGCAGGCATGTGTGCATGTTAGGGCGATGGGATGGGTAGGCAGACATGTGTGCATGTGAGGGCGATGGGATGGGTAGGCAGACATGGACGTGCTTTGCTTATTGTCGGTGAAAACCAGCCGCATGGGCTAGTGTGTGTCAGTGCCTTGTACAGTTGTGGCAAGTGAAATCCGACACTTGCCATAGGGGACAGCACCACAACTGGACATCAATGATCTATTGCACTGCACCTAATTGGTGCATTAGAGCCGTATGCATCCCAGACAGGTCGAAAGGTCACAGAGTCGATGCACACAGTTCACGGACGTGGTACACATAAGGAGTATTGGCATCCAGTGCCCATTCATATTTCATTATTTGGGAACACCTTTGAACCTCTCAGGTGAACTTTGACCGTGATGAGTACGAGTACTGACTACTATCATGAGACAGATAAAAGTTGTATGTAACACATGTACTGCGTATGCAGGGCCGCTGCACACTACATGGTTTGTATGTAACACATGTACTGGGTATGCAGGGCTGCTGCACACTACATGGTTTGTATGTAACACATGTACTGGGTATGCAGGGCCGCTGCACACTACATAGTGTAATCAGTCCATTAGGGCCAGGTTCCACTGCTGCTCTGCGGCACTTGGTTGCATGCAGCGGAGCAACGCGGCTCCACTGACACTCGCCATTCGTGGTACCGCGGGCGTGCTCCACGTTTTTTGATGACGTTCTACCTGCCTGCGCGGGCGAAATCAAAAAATCATACCTTGACCGGTATGGTGTGGTTTGCTGTGTGTTATCATTGTTGTTGTGCTACAGGTGCAAGATTCACTGCTGTCACGCTGGCAGAACGACCCTCATCGCATGGACCGACGCCAGCTGGCCCTCATCTTCCTGGCGCATGCGTCCGACGTCCTCGAGAATGCGTTTGCCCCACTGAGCGACGAGGATTACGAGGTGGCAACGCAGCGAGTCCGCGAGCTGCTCGATCTCGACCCGGAGGTCGAAGCTCTCAAGCCCAACGCCCACGAGATGACCTGGGCCGTTGCCGCCGCATTCACAAAGTAAATCATGCCACGACACCTTGCGTCGCACCGACATTCTTTTTCAGGTACTGTAGTCGAATACTCGGACGTTGTCCGTGCGCTGTTTTTTAGCCTGTCGGTCGGCAACCTCTGGACTCTCGTCACAACGATCAGTGCCTGGTTGTTTCGTCCATTAACTTTGTGTTTGTGTGCCTCCATGACAGTGGCAAGAATGGTGTAGCTGCGCCACTGCTCTCTATCCCACCATGGCTGGGTTTCTGATCTGCCAGCGAAACTTTTGTCGTTTTGCACGCCCAGCCCTGTACTGGTCAGAACTGTACATTTGTATACATAGCATACCTTCCACCCTCCCCCCCCCCCCCCCCCCCCCCCCGTGCCAAGTACAACCTCTGCTTGCCTTTCTAGTCCTGTGCATGTCGTCTGCTGTTGCTCACACTTAGATTACTACTGTTGTCTTGATCCTACCGTGCTGTGTGTGTGCCCAAGAGTGCAAGCTCTCGCCTCGTCTCTCATTAGCTCCAGCGTACCCTCCCTTCCCCCCCCCCCCCCACGGGTGTCCCACGGTTCCGCTCTCTATCTCTGCCTATTTATCTCTTCTTTGTTTACACCCTGCCCCCAGGATCGGTTTACTCCGCTGCTGGTCTCCATTCTATGTGTGTGTCCCCAACCCCAGGAGCGTTCAATGTATCCCTTGCTGAGCATCTAGATGAGCAGATGCTTTTAGTCCAACCCCAGTAGAGTTGTTTATTAGTTTTATCACGTGCGCTGCTGCCGGCTGCATTACCTCGCGCCATTACTGTCGTTCATTTGCTTGCTGTGTAACCTACCCTAACTCGACTAACTGTCTCACGTGGCCTACTGCCACCGCGGGCACAGTTTGTCGGTGAATGCTCGTGCCGCCGCTGCCCTAGGCCAATGTAACAAGATAAGCATTTTATCTTCTTCATTTTACGTGCATGCGTTGCCCTCTTTTCTCGTTGCACTCTTCTGCGGAATGTTGTGTCTACGTCTGTTCCGTCGGTCCTCGCGCTTCTTCTGACCCCCACGTGGGTGTTCGCATTCGTTATTTTGATTGGCCCCAGGTGACGTGCTGACTGTGACCGCCACTGTATTGTTTTGTTCGTGGATCAGCTTGCACGCTGTCTTAAAAGTGTTTGCATGCGCTCTCTGCTGTCTATTGTGAATGTCTATATCACTCTCTCTCTCTCTCCCTCTTTCCTGTGGTTTTGTCGGTTGTTGTTTTTATGTGTCCTTTGTGTAGTGTCCGTTACCAATTCATGCTGGATGTTGTTTCAGGCATGCTTGAGAAAAGCTTACCCCCTCCGCGTTTATGTGTTGTGAGTCTGTGTAAGTCTTTGTGTGCGTGTGTCAGCTAGTTCGGTTAGCGGGTGCACTAACGCTAGGTAGTGGCTGGATCTGTTGCTCCTCTGCTTGAAGGTGTATTGTCGTGTCAGCCACCTTTGTTGGTTGCGGGGCCATATACATTACATAATATATTATGTTGTTGGTTTGACAGCATGAAACAAGGTGGAGGACATTGTGTTGGGAAACAGTGACCTTACTACAACCATCCACAAGTTAATCTAATACTAGCATTGTACTTCAGTACTAGTATTGCATTTTCTAATATCATGTACGTAATTTACGTCCATGTATGTAATGTACATCCATGTATGTAATTTACGTACATGTATGTATGTGCTTTCTATTGGAAGTATACATGTACCTGTTGATCAATGGACTGCCCAACAATATCAGGTCCATGCACTGTGATTTTAGCAATCTAGAATAATATTGTTACTTGTTGCTTGTCACCGGTTACTTATTACCTCAGTTCCCTGGATGCATGCAGCAGGGGTAAATGCAGTTGGATCCAGGTCCAGAAAATGATGATGCCGTGAATTTGTTTCTGCACGCTGTCCTCACCTGGGACGTGCATTGGGATCGCTTTCAAGTCAGAGAAAGTGGGAATTTCAGGGGTAGTCGGCCGCTGCATGCATGCGCGGCTGTCCACAGTTCCCTTTTGAATCTCTCCCGTCCCGGGGGACACCCATGTGACATACAGTTACTGGCATTGTGTGTGTGTGTGTGTGTGGAGGGGGGCACTTGTACGCTGAACATTCCATTATCCTCATAATACTAAAATTTTGACTAGTTTGAGGGAAAGATTATTATTATTATAATAATCGCACACCGGCCTGTTTGCTAGATGATCAGTGTATGGTGGCTCCAGCGTGCATGCAGGAACATAGTTTGTCCTCCTGTCAACCATCACCAAAAAAGTAGCTGACATTTAACACGCGTTTCAAGTTCACTATTACAGTGAATGTATGAGTTTGCGGGTGAAACATTTTCTCTTTCCTACAATGTGATCACTACTCTAGACTAGAGCTAAGTACAAAAGTAAAAATAACTGTCAGTGCCTTCTCCAATACATGTACTTGATAAAGTGTGTGGCGACGACGGTAAAATAATTTTGTGACCGCTAAAGCTGAAACTAAAGTGCTACATGTGCATGTATGCAACAGTCATATACATAATTTTAGTAATAAAAAGAAGAGATAAATCAGTGATGTGAAAACGATGTTCAGTGTTTTGCAGAGCTACATTTTGTATGGGAACGAGCTTGTCAGCTCGAATGCCTTTCTTCCAACAAAAAGAGAGAAAAGATCATTTTTAGATAAACGCACTTTGGGTGGAAAAGCCGACCGGTCAGTTGAAGAACTAGACTTCAGAATTGTAATAACAACATACAGTAGGAATTCAAATTTGGACTTCACGGAGAATTTCAGGAAATTAGAGTCCCGGTGGTGTGACTGATGATTTTTTCTTTCTTTGATATCTGGCTTGCAAGTGTTGAGTTTCGGAGAGAAAAGAGCAGTATGTGGCATGTGGCCTCTAATTTCCTAAAAACATACAGTAGGAGTTATTAGAAACAGGGGGAAATAGCCACAATATTCAATAGCACCTATTACGTCCTTCCTGCAGGATATGTGCAACTATTTGTGCCACGAGACAGATCATTAAACAGTTGACACTCATTAAAAGCGCCTCGGAAAACACGCAACAACGCACAGACACACACACACTGGATGTGCTGTGGATAGACTTCATCAACAGGTCCCAATGCCATGGTGCAAACCGCGCCTGCAGCTACCCAGGAGCGCGTCAACTGTCTCGGCTGAATGCTCAGGAGAGCAGTGATAATCAGAAGAAGATTGATCAGGAAGAGGATCAGCCGTCAAACGCTTGCCGTTGACTGGAAGAGCAGAGAAAAGAAATCCGCTGCCCAGCCATAACTAACGCTCACTTGCTGCCTAGATCAGAAGAGATGGGCTCAATCTCCAGACAGGTAACCATGGTAACTGCTTTGACTGTCTTTAGTCTCATCAGCAGAGCTCTGACTGTCTGAGTGACTGGCCAAACAATTGCAAAAAAAGACGCAGAAATAGAGACAGCTAACGTTACATGTAGACAGGCCGACACCTAGATATTGTCTAGAGAGCAGCAGTTGTAACGGCTCTCCATGCGGTGCGGCGATGCGTTTCCCGTCCTAGCACGCAGGCACTTTATTTCATTCTCACTCGACACACCCTCTGCCCTTGAGTTCTCTATCCTTTGCAAAGCAGCTCGTCCCAATCGGGATAGAGCTCGGCGCGTAGGCGCTTCACGTAGTCGCCAATGTTGGAATACTTGCCGTCCATCAGGCGCCGCGGCTCAGAGTCCGGGATCAGGTAGTAGAGAGACGCCATCATGCCGAACACGCCGGCATCGTATGACGTCATCGTGTCGCCCATGACGTAATGGCTGGAGCCTAGCAGCGCGGATAGCGAGCCGAGGTCCTTGCCGACAATGGTGGCCACCTCGGCGACGGAGTGCTGGCCCAGGCCCTGCGCGTTGAGCACGGCCTCGAGCGTCTTGCCGACCTTCAGGCGCACCATCCAGTAGAAGAAGAAACCGGGGTTTGTCTCTAACATGTAGGGCATGTCCTGCATGTGTCTAACCCTGGCATGATGGTGAGGTAGAGCCCTGCACAGTGACACAACATCAATGATGAGGGTAAGTAGATACCCAGTCATCCCCAATCCCCCCCCCCCACACACACACACACATGCACGCACGTGCGCACCAGATGAACGTAAGAACTTGGTTTGGGGTCAGATCCTGACCGTGTTTGGGGTCAGAAGGTCATGACTGTGTGTTTGAGGTCAGCAGGTCATGACCGTGTTCGGGGTCAGAAGTCCATGACTGTGTGTTTGGGATCAGAAGGTCATGACTGTGCTTGGGGTCAGAAGGCCATGACCTTGTTTGGGGTCAGAAGGTCATGATGGTACTATCATAGTGGGCGGATCGTTTTTATTCCTATCCAAATTAACAACAGCAGCCATCAAAAAGAAGGCATAAAGCAACAGCAACAGCAAGAAACACCCAATTTACTAAAAATGAGATTATGATATCATATTTTCAACTTCCCTCAAAATCTAAAGAACTCTTCCTCTCCTCTCCTCTATGCGCTCTCACAGCCGACTCACTGCTGCCCTCGGTAGCCATTACACACACCAACAGCTATACAAGGAAGGGTTGCAGGTAGATACTGAAATTTCTCCTGACAGCTGTTTCGCCTTCATAAGGCTCATCAGAGAAGGTGATATTGAATAGGATGATATCAGGTGGAGATGGTCAGATTTATACTACAAAACATGATGAGCCTTACGATGAGCCTTATGAAGGCGAAACAGCTGTCAGGAGGAATTTCAGTATCTACCTGCAACCCTTCCTTGTATAGCTGTTGGTGTGCGTAATGGCTACCGAGGGTAGCAGTGAGTCGGCTGTGAGAGCGCATAGAGGAGAGGAGAGGAAGAGTTCTTTACATTTTATTGGCCGAATAGTACCGTTCACCATTTGAAATTCCCTCAAAACCGAAAGAAAAAAGGATGAACTCAGGCGCCATGTTTTCCATGTCAACGTCACAGAAACTGCTCTGCGTGCTCCATCGCGTTCGCATGGGAACTGACTGCTCTGCGTGCTCCATCGCGTTCGTCTGGGAACTGACTGTTCTGCGTGCTCGATGTGCTTGCCCTGCTATCAGATCACCCCTGGCGAACACGCCCCTAGGTCTACATGCACATACATGTAACCGCCGTTTACGAGTACGATAACACCATGCAGGACCGCCGGAAGCTAGCAGTTTTCAATAGGTCCGGTCCTACCATAGTCTTTCATACAGTTTGTGTAGAATATGGCGGGGACGTATGCCCTCCTCAGCATTGCCAGCAGCTACATGTACAAAGTTGGTCCGGTGTCAGGGGCGAACATAGGGCGGTTCCCGGGATGCCCGGGAACCAGTACAAAAAATTCCATGTGGGTACAGAGAATTATTTGTTGATCCAGGCCCAGCGCTCACAGTGCAAGTGCATGCCTGGCATCTGCCTGACGGTCCGATCGAGGACGGTGACTAGCCCAGGTGTGAAAGTAGTGCTGGGACACAGCGTACTGAACACAGAACTGGGTTCAACAAAGTCTCTACTGTAGTTACATCGCCGGATTCCTCGATCTCAGAGTCAAATTTTCCTTTGGAGTTTGTTTGACAAAGTAATTAGTTGGTCGTGTTTTGACAATGCTTTCGCTTTGTGGAAAAGCGTCGACATCCAGAGGGCCAGCGCTCTATTCAGAGCTATTTTGAGCTGCAGACAAAGCGTGTAGCGAAGGTCAAGCGATAGATGAGAATGCAGACGCACCTGACTTGCAAGCGAAGTAACGAGCAGCGTTGAGGAAGAAATCGTCGGCGAAGCTGTAGAGCGACCGTTGTTGGAAGCTGCTGGATCATCCAAAACTAACTTCAATGACATGGGAGTGTGTTGGACGGGATATTCTGAAAGTCGACGTCCACAGCGGAATCCAGTCCCCCGAAATTTGCTGGACACGGAAAAGATTTCCGTCATCGACAATCATTGTAAGCCACCAAAGGCGAAGGATTTCGTTTCCTGTGCGTGTCCAGACGGATGGCAAACAGCGCCACTTTCAAATATCCTTGTTAGAGGAGTTACCCTGGATAGTCTTTTGACAGGCATGCAATGGTGGCTTCTGCTTGCCCTGTGTGATGTTTGCTCCAGATGATTCGAAACTTAGGCAGCTTTCAAGACCGCATGCAATCGTCATGTTGAACAAAACATCCATAAAACGGGGTAAAGTTCTGTCCTTTAAAATCATAAATGCGTAGCAATGACATCATCGTCCAGCAGCTTGTGGATGTTAATTTCACCCAGTCTGAGGAGAATATGCAGAAACTCCGTGGGATACGAAAAACAGCACTTCAAATGTGTGGAATGTTGGTGCATCAGTTGGCATGGGAACCACTCCTGGAGGCGAGCGGCGTACGCCCCTGGGTGTTAACCTGACCGGTTCCGGCGGGCCTGTGTCATGTACACGTACAGGGTTCTACCCAGGGAAAATTGTGGGGCCTGGGGAGGGGGGTTAGGGCAACCAAACAGTTCGCCTATTTTTTCGCCGGTTCCACTATTGCTTTGTCACAAAAAAATGTAACACACTGGTACGGCTGCACAGAGCACTCGGAACGAACGATTGATTTGTGACGGTATTTTCGTTGTGCGAGCTGAAGAATCGCAAGAGTCGAAAAATGAGTAGGGTGGTGCGCTAGCAGAGTAGGGGGGGGGGGGGGCATCAGTGTAGTGGGGGGGGGGGGGGGGGTCGGAGTAGTGGGGAGCCCCCCCCCCCCCCCCCCGCTAGAACCCTGATCTACATTGAACATGTACATGTTTATAATTGTACACGTACATCTACAATCACAAAGGCAGAAGAGAACAGAGACAGCCGGCTAGGTCATTGTTGTAACTCAAGCAGCAGCTCTACCGTCGGTATCTCAGAACTCGCAGCGCCGAGAACTGGCTCACGTTCGTAACTCAACGCAATAGGACCACAACACAACTGAGAGAAGCTAAATCCGCCTTCGTATCCACTACCGCGCAAGGCGACGTAACTGGTGTCCCGCAGCGAAACCTGTACCAGTTAATGAAGTCACTGCGGTCGTCCCCGAAAAAGGAGCTTCCACCTATTTCAGCGAACAAAACAGATCAGACGGAGAAAAGGCGGAAGCGTTTAACAATTTTTTTCATTTCGGAAAACCGGAAGTCCGTCTCCGGACCAACTGAAGCCTTGCCAGAGATTGGGGCGTCACGCATCATTGGAAGCGAACTGAAGGAAATCATCACCACCCAGGAGGAGGTCAGAAAACTCCTTTCCGCTCATGATTTCCGGAAGTCGGCTGGGTACGATGGCATCCCGACGAAATTGCTCAAGATCTCTGCAGACGAAATATCGTGCTCCCTCGCAACGCTTTTCAATGAGTCCTTCTCGCGAGGCGAGCAGCCACAGGACTGGCGCGACGCCACTATCAGTCCTCTACACAAGAAAGCCTCTCATGCAGAGGTCACCAATTATAGGCCAATCTCGCTCCTGAGCATTGTCAGCAAGGTTCAGGAGAGGATTGTTGACCAACGCCTCTACACCCACATCGAGCCCCGCCTACCCGCCGACCAATCTGGTTTTCGATCTAAGGATAGTACTGAACTACAGCTCTCCCGCCTAGTGCATGAGATTTACGCCAGCCGAGATGCTGGTCAGGCAGTGTCAGCATGCTTCTTTGACTTATCAAAGGCTTTTGACCGAGTCTGGCATGCTGGCCTCCTGGCCAAACTCGAGCACCTTGGTGTCCGTAGCATTGCCCTTACCTGGCTCACAAGCTACCTGACTCGCCGCCGACAACGCGTCAAGGTTGGCCCGCTTTGTCATCATGGAAATCCATTCCAGCTGGAGTACCCCAGGGCTCTGTCCTGGGGCCTCTTCTTTTCCTGGTGTACACGATCGACCTCCCCCCAGCATGTACAAACTCCCACACCAAATGCAGCCAGTTCGCCGATGACACGGCACTCATCGCGACGCATTACGCGAGGAATTTATCAGCTGCATTCCTCCAACGTGCCGTGGACGCAGCAGGACGATGGTTGAAGGATTGGCATCTCCTCGTCAACACCATGCAAACCGTCGTCCTTTCCTTCCAACCCCAACACACCATCCACGTCACGCTCCACTCGACTAGGCTGCAGCAGGTCCACCAACATAGGCACCTTGGTGTTACACTCCAAGACGATATGCGATGGACCCAACACATCATAGAAACCACCAACAAAGCCAAAAAACTACTACACCAACTCCACAAGACACGTGGCACAATGAACGCTTCCAGCCTATTTACACTCCCTACATCCGACCCGTTCTCGAATATGGCCTCCTTGCCCTCTCCAACACCACACAGCAACAGCGGGACACACTGGAGAGAATTCAACGCCGTGCTATACGCATCTGCCTTCGGATTCCCCTCTTTGCACCAGTTCACCACAGTTCCCTCCTCCATCACGCAAAGCTTCCCACCCTGAGCTCACGACTCCTTGTTAAACAAGTCCTACTAGCATGGGACATCCACCACCAAATCTCCCCACCACACCTGCAACAACCACATCTTGCACCACAACGTCAACACCAACCATACACCCTTCGACAGACAAGGACCTACTCCATCGGACACGCACATACAAACAGGCACCGAGATTCCCCCATCAACAGTGCCCTGACCCTCTACAACTCCCTCCCTATCGACGTCACAACCCAACCTCGTAGAAATTCTATCCGAAACAATGCATCCAGTCTTCTTTTGAGCAGTACCTGTTCCTGCTCCGCGCATCCCCCTGGTTTCTGATATCTCGAAAGTGTACTTTTAACCATCTCCATCACCCCTGCTAACGGTATTGCCCCCGTTTGTTTTTCATGATCCATTGCTTCTTGCCTCCCCGGTTAATTTCCATCTATAAATAGCTGTTTATAGCTGTTTCTGGCTAGTATCACTATCAGTTCTATCACACTTATCAATCGTCCTTATTGGCGTCACGCCATCGTGAAAAAAACAAACAAACAAAAAACGCTGCGTTCAGTGCACTTAGCAAAGCTAAGGCAATCCTCAGACAACGGATCAGTTGTCTGAGGATTGCCGCTTAGGCCACCCTTTCTTTTTTCGTTGTTTAACGTCCGCGCCCGCGTACCTTTTTGCCTCCGACCGGAAAAAAAACAAGAAAGTAGAAGTACCAATAATATGCGAAGTTGTAAATACATGATTGTGTAGTTTCACAGTGTGCCGATCATGACCTTAAACTTATAATCTTGCCTCCCGGGCATGCCTTTGTCTTGTGTTCTTTTTCTTTTTTTGTTGGCTTTTAAATATCGTACGGTGTGTGTCCTAGTAAAAATCCAGATGTAATGAATTCATGACATGCTAACTCCATGCTATGTACCTGTTTTTGTTGGATTCATCAGGCATGTACTCCAATGTCCCATCAAAGAGTGTTGTTCTATGCCTGCAAGTGCCGTTAGACCCAGAAATATTGTATATATCACATGCTTTACTGGTCAAAATGTTTGATTGGGGTTTCCAGTTTTTGGAATGGGCTTTTGTTTTTTTTCCGCCCTCCCGCGTACCTTTTCGCGAAAAAAAGGACGTTAAACAATGAATTAACAAAGGGTGGCCTTAGCTTTGCTACGTGCATGAAACGCAGCATTACAACAATGACCTAGCCGGCTGTCTCTGTTCTCTTCTGCCTTTGTGGTAATGCTCCATCCTTGTGGTGTTGAGCACTCTAGGCAATCTGGGAACTCTCGCTATTTAGATCTACGATCATGTACATGTAGATTTGACACTGCGCGGAAGAGCGGGGTATACGGGTACTGTCATTGACCACTTACATTATCGTGTTTTCTTCCAGCATCTGTTCCATGGCGTGTGCGACAGCTTTCTGCCTCTAATCAAGGTGATCATTCATCGTCAGATTGAAGCGCTTTATCAGGAATTCAATGATGAAGTCCGAATCGGCCACGGTCTCTCCGTCGAGCTCAATGAAAGGTAATTTCCCCTTCGGGCCCATTGTGTACGACCCTGTAACTATGTAGTCGATCTTGGCCATGCGGAGGAATGTTTCTACCTTCCAACAGTACGGCGACGGGCTGGGTGATCTGGTGCAGCGAGGGAATTGGTACAGATACACCACGCCAGGCTTCCTCAGTGCAGCCTCCATAGTACTGCAGTTATGGTCTACGGAGAGGCTACCTTGCCAACCTTTTCTCTAAGAGCAGCCTCTATTTCTCCTCAGCAAAAGCCGCGCAAACAGCCTAAATACTAACTGAATAGTTTGACGAATGAACTGGTCATTTCAAGTATTTGAAACGATTCCACAATCGATAATCATCCACGCGACAGAAAAGCAGTGTTGTGGAATGAGTCATTTGCACGTCGATATGGATCAAAGAGAAGAACGTCACAATCGATATCATCACTCTTCTTGACACGTCGAGTTTTATTTCAAGTGCAGCTAGTGTTGTGCAGTGACATGAAGCCATCATGATGGCAGCTGTGCTGCTGCCAGTCTCTGCGCCAAACTGTCTGAGATTGTCAAGCGAATCCCTTGGCTTTGAGTCGAGGAAGCCTGGACATCAGGCGATCGAGTTTTCCCTCCCGCGCTTCGCTTTGTGGTGACTTGTACAGCCGAAGCTCCTGCGGACGTGAAGCACGCAATGTCGTTCGCCGCGGAAGCCTGCGTTCGTATTTCCTCAGGTAAAACCTTGCTGGCTTCAACTATTCCTTTCAAGCCTTGATTGTCGTAAGTCACACACGTGAAAAGTCTGTTCAAAAGATCAGGAATGATGTGCACCCAGGCCAGATGATGGCAAAACCAGGGAGTTCTATTCAGTATTAGTCCCTGACCCTGATCTAAACTAAAGCAGTAAAGCAGTAAAGCAGTAAAGCAGTAAAGCCGTAAAGCCACACAAGATACTACAACTGTACAAAGTAGGTACATGTACATCATCATGCAGTGTGACTACTGACTGCTGACTACTGTCCTTCACTGGTGACATGATAGTGACTGAGTCAGGCTGTGCTCTCTACACTGAGTCTGTATCTGAATGGTCCAAATCATTTGGCAAATGACTGTAGAGTGTACTACTAGTAGTAGTGCACCGTGCAATCTATTCTGTAGGCAGTGTGCAAGCATACGACATCGTATACAAACACACTTGAACTGCCCTTGCATATCGTCATACCGTGTGACGTGATGCGTACATGATGACCATGCCAGCCTAGTCTTTATAGTCTTGGGCCAAACAGTCGTGATTAGCCAACTCAGAAACGTGCACATACATGTAGGCAAGAGTACAACCATGCACTGTTGAGTCTTCAGGATGCAGGACAGGGGAAGGAGGTTTTGATTGATCCGGTCGGGCCGAACCCTAGCCGTTCAATGTAAACGGTTCATATACTTTGTGCCTGATATGGTGGGTACACATGATCTAACCAGCACTGAACTCGCGTTGGTGGTCATAACGTGGGTCCAGCCATGGCCTGACCAACCAGATGTGACCGGTTCCGGCGGGCCTGACGTGGTAGAAGGTTCAGATGGTTGCACAACTGGGATTCTACCAACTGGTTTCTGGTGCACGGTTCTCGATGCTATGTGTCCCCAATCTTGTGATGATATGCTCTAACTTCAGAAATTTAAGGTGCTCAATGTTTCCGGTATGAGGGCAAAATGCCAGGCTAGGTGAACGGACATTTTACGTACAGAGAAGCAGTTCCCTATTGGATTATGTGCGTTAGCGTTTGTTCGGTGTATTGAATTTTTAGGTACTAACAGACGCACCGAAAGTACCGAAAATAAAAGTACACTGAAAATTTGTGAAATCACAGCCAAATGCTGTCATCATCATACATGGACATACATGTACATACACATGCCCAAATGTGTAGTGTAGACTGTGTGCACTAGCAGAGTGTCTGTAGACACACTGTGATTGCCAATCCCACTCACGGGCACAGACAGTTTATGATGCTCCAGCAGTGCAGACTGCAGTGTGTACATGTACGTGTACACCATGATCGTTATGACTCATGAGAAAGTCATAACACAATATCTGACATCATCCGTTGATTGCTGAAGCCACATCCAGTGTTGGCTGAACTCATGAGGCATCGTGCAAGTCGTGTAGAAAGCAAATCATTGAACTGCTGCCAAAGCCGAGCCCATGACCCATGTGCCAGCCTTTGTCTTGGTTACTCATCATGCTCGAACCATGCGAGGTAACCATGGTAATCGGGGCTGGGTGGTACCCCAAGGCCCAAGCTAAACAACATTGTATCTACATTGTGCATTGTACATCCTAGAAACAGAAAACTCGCCCGCGGGGAATTTAGTTTTGTCCGAAGAGGTTTGGCACTAAAATAACACTGGCTGGACAAGGAAAGCCGCGGCGATTCCGCCGTACGTGACAAACTATGTGGGCCGTTGGGCATTGCTTTGTCCAGCTACATGTACTGTATGTACTGTATGTACTGTATGTACTGAGTAGCTGCCATTCTTGATCCCTTTCATGACATACTAGTATGCTTGATGACAGGGATAGTTATGAGCAACACAATACTTTGGAAAACCTGATCATTGATGCTGCAATTGGTTGTGCTTGTATTCCACTGAGTCCATTGATTCCACACCGTCCGTGCCCCAATATTTTAGTTGCATCATGCACTGTGACTGCATGCAAGTAGCAGTTGTTTGTATTGATATTTTTTTGTACTGATTTATTTGACTCGACCCTCTGAATTCGGTATCTGTGTACAACTTGGGAAGATCCGAATGACAATATACTGTACATAAACATAAACGTGTGTTTAATAAATAAATAGTGGGCAGCCTGTCTACGTCAACGGGACACGTGAGAATGAGCATTGTGTTCGTGATCTTAGTACTCAGTTACCATGGTTACTCCAATGCACTCCATGCAGTGCACAAAATCAGCCAAGACTGCACCCCCCCCCCCCCCGCCGAGTTTTACATTTTTGCAAGAGTCCATAACCCCCCGTTATGCACTCTTGATTTTTGGCATTGCCCTGGCCTGACGTAGCACGTGCTGATATGACGTCGAGCGTACATGAAGTGTGCACGAATGAGTCATGAGTACAACTGGGGCCCGGTGTTGCACGTGAAAAATTCAATCGATGAACTGAGCTCAGAAGGACTAGACTGTGCATTGTTGAGAAGAAATGGATTGATTAGCCAATAGGCCCAATACTCCATCGCTAAGCTGACGATGCCGTTCGTCTCAGCTTCTATAAAATCTCCTTATGGCAGGTCTTACAATCACTTTGAGATCCGCCTAGAAATTTCGGAAGACAGAAGTATCCCTCTCGAGATTTCCTCCACTTGGCCACAAGAAATTCAAATTATTTGAAAAGTACTAGTAGTTTGCTGGGAGAAGAGACTGCGAGTGCAATGGGGGAGAAAACGAGTGGCATGGTGTACCTTCACCAGTTCCCTCGCTGCACGAAGGGGCCTAATATCTCACCGTTCTGTCTGAAGATGGAAACGTTCCTGCGAATGGCCAAGATTGACTACGAAGCAATTGGGTCGTTGACGATGGGGCCGAAGGGGAAAGTACCTTTCATTGTTCTGGACGGAGAGACCGTGGCCGATTCGGACTTCATCATTGAATTTCTGATAAAGCGCTTCAATCTGACGATGAATGATCACCTTGATGAGAGGCAGAAAGCTGTCGCACACGCCATGGAACAGATGCTGGAAGAAAACACGATTTGGTGAGTGGAAATTGAATTCTGCAGAAATGTATGATTAATTATTCTCCAGTTGAGGGAATGATTGAATGTATGATTGAAATGCATTACATTCAAACATGCGTGAAAGATTAGTAGAACTCTGATGACGTCATGATGCGTACCCACTTTGAGAAGAAAGTACTAGTACATGTGCCTACCAGGCGAAGCGCCAGCACCCCAAATCAAGACTTTTTTATTTTCCGTGGCGGGAAATCGAGCTTTTCCAGGTATCTACAGCCTGTAGAAATTCAACGCTGAGAATTTCCAACTATTGTCCGGCTTTGGCCCTCTGCCACCGACCTATCCTTTGAAGGAGAATGCTGAAACCAGTTGGTTGCTCTTCAGTAGTTCTTTCTCTATCGTACACATATTTTTGTATGTCGACACATGCTGTGTGCGACGACGTAGACACTTCTCAACACTTGAGTGACTTGAATTTGGCCATGATGACCGAATGTCATTGGACCGTGGAGTCGAGTAGAGGGCTCAGGCTCGATCGGCACAACGGGTACGTATAGCACACGGGTAGGGCTAATGATATATCAAGTTGTTTGCTGTGCACAACCTTGGGGCGGAATTCGGCACGAAATTCTCTGCTCGCCAACTGTTGAGTATACCATGCAATACGTAGGTTTAAACTCATGTTGCAGTGCTATCACGGTTGCAACCCTCTTTCAAATGTTGACATAGCCAACAACCACATAATCCATATCAAATCTTGCCCCTTGTTTTCTTTCTAAGTGTGAAAAATAGAAATAATACCAGTCCTAATCATTGGAAAATGCAAATCACAGTCTATTATCGACACATCGTACTGTCGCGGACATGGAAATCCAGTCGATTGACCGGGGCCGGCGCCCTCAGCGCGTACAGAACGTTGCATGCAGTGCACATGTTGATCCAATGCCACCATCAGCAGCGCATGATAAACCGTGCTACGGCTGCATGGCGAGCGCCCTGGGGCCGCTATACGTGCGACCGGATTTCCATGTCCACGACAGTAGTACCATGCAGCCTGGTAGTGCATTTGGAGCAGGAAAGTGAATGGTAGCACTGCGGTGGTGAACACATGAGCTGATGATAACCATCGTCGTCTTGTTGGTTTGTGTTGTCTCCAGTTCATTGCAGGTTGAACGAGGAATGAACGTCTACTCTTTCTTTCCAAAACTGGCTGGGCGCACGCCAATGAGACGGAAGCTAGTGCCAAACCAGTCCTTGGAAGTTTTGTTGTGCTGCTGGACTTTCAATCATCATGTAAAGTATATTCCGGTTTCTGAGTCTTCGTGTGCGCCTGAAGAGCTACACTGTGTAGAGATGTTGGAAGTTTATCCTGCTCACGACACTGCACCAAGTACAAGCACTTCCTCGGCACTGCCTGAGCCCTGTTCTGTGTTTACTGTGACCAGGAGAAGCAACTAGAAATTTGGAGCTTGAGCTGGAATGCTGGTGCTCTCTCTCTCTCTCTCTCTCTCTCTCTCTCTCTCTCTCTCTCTCTCTCTCTCTCTCTCTCTCTCTCTCTCCGTCACGTTCTGCCACTGTCCGAAACCGGTGCATGTGCTAGCATGTCGAAGCGCATTGTGTCTGAGTCACTCACTCACTCTCCTGCTCCTCCCTCATATGCCCAAGACAGTATGACCAACTGTGAATACAGTTCGCGCCCACATGTGAACTTGTGTGGTTCTCTTGTACAGTGTGGTAAGCTGCCACGTGTGTACTTGCACGTGTTGTGTACATGTATGTGTGTGCGTGTGTATCTATGGGACTGCGTTCTCCTATTCTCTCTCCGGTGCCTTCGAGGCCCACGCAACCCTTGTGACAGTGGCTCGACAGCACAGGGCAGGAGTGTGCGCGCGTGCATGTGTATATGTGGGTGTGTGTGCGCGCGCGCGCGTGTGCATGTGTGGGTGTGCGCGCGTGCATGCAGATGGGTGTGTGCGCACGCTGATGCTCAGCTCTCCAGAATGATGTCCGTGTGCGTAGCCAGTGTATGGTGGCAACATAGCCTTCCTTCATGTATATGTGTATGCACATACTATTTGGGATGCTTTACTGTTTTTGGTGGGATCCAGTTACATAGTTTTCTGTTCAATTATTTATGTTTATACAGCTGCTGTATACATGTATTTGTAGTGCACCTTTCTGTCTTTCTGCTGGTCAATTTGTCGTCTTGATGGTGTTCTAATACTGATATACATAGAAAATATTACCCTCAGAAAGTGTGCTCGTTGTGAAGTTGTCCTTCTTTGGGCTCAAACCATTGCTCGTGTATAGGTAGATACATATCAGTGGGTTCGATTGGTGGCGAGAGGTCAGCCTAAATTGTTTGGGGCGGAATTCGGCACGAAATCCACGCTGAGTACTTTTTGACGACGAGTTGCGTCGGTCTTGAAAACTCTGGCGAGAAAGAGAGGAAAATGATGTCGCTTGGAGCTTTCCGCGAAACTTAGGGCAGCTAATGCCCGCACCTTCCCAAACATTGCCTCGGAACAAGACGATACCACCAGGGAAGCTCTTGTGAGCAAGGGATAAAATAGTCTCTTTTTGGTGATATTGAGCTGAGTTTCAAATTTCCCGGGCCTGGGGTCGGATTTGGAAAATAAAAGTGCAACTTTTAGGGCTCTTTTTCGGTGCTGGCGCTTCGCCTGCTACTGTCCGGGATACTTCTTAATATTATACAAAGTCGAGTCCCGCGACCCGACCAATACACAGCACTGCAAAGTACCGTTGATCCCCCCCCCCCCTTCACACGTACACATCTGTATACCCAATGTATTCCCAATGCTATTATATGCTACACGTGCATGCTTATGATAAGAGAATATGTGCGCCGAAAAGGGTCTTGCCAACCAGGGGTGCGTTTAGTACGTATGATCTAGAAGCGGATCAAACAGCAGCTGACATGCTGTGTGTGTGTGTGTGTGTGTGTACTTGTGTGTCCGTGTGTGTGTCCGTGTGTACTTGTATGTCCATGTGTCCGTGTGTGTGTGTACATGTATGTCTGTGCGTGTGTGTGTGTGTGTTTGTGTGTCCCTGTGTGTGCGTTTGCACTGCAGGACGCTGGGCTATCACATGCTGAACGACCGCTGCCTGGAGGATACGCCGGGCCTGATGTTCCTGAACCCGGGCATGCTCAAGTCGCTGGCGTTCAAGATGTACGGCAGCATGCGTCTCTCAAAGAACCTGCACGCGCAGGGCATGGGCCGACATTCGGGCGACGAGGTGGCCACCATCGTACGCAAGGACCTCGGCAGCGTGTCGACACTGCTCGGGAAGAATCGCTACGTGATGGGCGACAAGGTGACGACGTATGACGCCGCGGTGTTCGCCCTTCTGGCCTCGTTCTACTATACGGCACCGCTCTCGCTTCAGTACCAGCTGATGAACGACGAGTACAGTAACCTGGGGGATTACGTCAAGCGCATGCGCGAGGAGTTCTATCCGGATTGGGACGAGCTGACGCTGAAGTGATCTGCGACACTGAGCGCTGATCCTGTTGTCTGCATCATGCCATGCATGGTCATGCTAACAGCCGATACTGAGCCTCTCCGGAGCCTCTTCTCCCTAATGCGAGCATGCAAACTGGCCAAGGCTCGCCTAGTACATTTTGCCCATGTCTTCACAATTTCAGAATATATTTGAACTGCTTTTGTCCAGGGTTTTGAAACTGACCTGTCACGAATATACAACATGTAATAGAATAGCTGACTCAAAGGTTTTATTATTAGTATTGTCAGAAATGCCATTTGTACTTGCCGCACTGGTAATCATTATATTGTTGACTCGTTATTTTAGCCGAGTTGTCGCTACGCGTTATGCTCAGCTTGTGTGTGTGTGCGTGTGTGTGTGTGTGTGTGTATGTGTGTACATGTGCATCCTTGGAGTGTAGAAAACGTTTATAATTTGAAGTACGCGTTCACAGACAGAACCTTTCCTTCTTGACCTGGTTACAGCTGATTGTATGTGTTACATGGCTGGACCCGTTGTCACGGAATTGGTCTTTTTCTTAGCCACCTGATGTTGACTTGCATGAAACGTGCGGGTCACAAACACGAGTCTTGTCCCCTGCTCTAGGCAGTAGGTAGACTCAGCGATTTCTGGTGTAAAACTGACAAGTTCTCTCCCATGATATACCTGTAACACAGCCTTCTTATCAAATAGTTTAAGTGCCATGAGAGCGTTCTTATCCACCACACACTATCACACTATCATCAAAACCTGGTATTTTCTACTCTTTTATTCTTCTTTTCTGAATGGTAGTGCCGATGGGTTAGATATTTCTTATACATGTACAGTCAACTTCGCTAATAACGACTTCGGATATAACGACAATTCGCGAATAACGACAGAATTTCCATGCCCAGAGCAAAGTCCCATCTGACTGTATACATTTAACTTCGGATATAACGACTATCTGAATAACGACAATTCGCGAATAGCGACATGATTTTTAGTGCCCCGAGGTCATATTCACTGCTTGAATAACGACTTTCTGGCTTTTTGACAGCTATTTCAAGTACCTGTCATGCAGAAGTACCAGAAGAACCCGTGGCGATGGATAAGGCACACATACAAGAAGATACAGCCAGGGGGGGGGGGGTGTTTTTTCTTTTTTCTTTTCTTCAAAATAGTTGGAATGATCAGCACACCTATTGGACATGTAGTTGTACAGTACATGATTGCACATTAATCTTCATACATGTACATGAACATGTCCCTGTAGATGGCTCCAAAAGGTTAAATTTTCAATTTATTTCCCTTGTATAATTTATTGACTTTATTGTTCCTTTCAATTGCAATACGAAAATAAAGTACAAATAGATGACTTGCACAAAGATCCGAGCCGCGAGTGAGACGGGGCAAGTGCACCCTGTGCACCCAGGCTACACTGCGGGCACCCTACACCGTCTGTAGTGTACTTTTTTTGTCAGCATGAATGAATGGTGCACGGCATGTAGACTCTACATGATGTACATGTACTTGGTCAGTACCGTCACTGTCTTCAGAAGCTCATGAGTCATGTGCACTTGTACTTTAAGTTGTAGGGTTAGTGGAAGTACATGACTGTATATTATGTGAAGAGAAGCCAGGCGTTCAAACCAACCCAAAATACTCTTGCCATATTCTTCAGTGAAATAGTTATTAAAAAATTTGTCTTACTAAACAACAGTGAGCATAGAAGCAACCTCGATGCACCCAATAATATGGCATCCGGGAACAGCAAGTGTTGCACGAGGATCCCAAGAACACGTCAAGTTCCATGCTACCCGCCGCCATCAAAAGAACGAAGGATAACTGTGCTAGCCTAGTTCATATTCAATGTAACGCTATCGGTACGGGATATAGGAGCCTGTTGGGAAGGCGTGGGTGAGCTGTTAAAATCTTGTACGGTTCGCACAGCACAACATACATGCAGCAGTTATTGCGACGGTTAATGTCGATGGACGAGAGTCATACAGCACAGCCCATGGGGGTTGATGTTTCTGGGCTTCCTTTCCGAAAGGAAATTTTTATTTCTTCTCTAATAAAGCATAATCATGCTGATTATACCAGTCTGTTATGAAGACAAGAAAGCAGCCATGGACATTGTGCCACACTAAAGGAACGACAGGTAAAAGATAAAGCACTTCATCTGAAAACTCAAGGACTATCCATAAATACAGCAAATGATAATCCTAGCCTGGTAATGTCCAACTCCGTCATGTGAGCCATTCGGTGGGAAGCATAATGTTCGAAATGCTGAAATTTGAACAGTTGCAGTTGTGTTCGTCGCCACACAATGCCATCGCCAGTTCACATTCGAAATGTAGCCATTTTTACTAGTGTTGAAACGATCTCACCGGATACTCGCTAGCTCGCTCACCAGAAACTCGGCTCGTTTGTGCGGCCAGCTCGTTTGCACTAACGAACACCGTACACCGTACTCCGTACACATGGCAGTACATGTCGACCGGGGAGTCGTAGAATATTTTACGACTCCCTGGTCGATCGAGAGTCCAGTCCCGCGCAAAGTGAAAATCACTCGCAGTTACAGGTGACTGTATGCCTGCACGACACTTGAGTTGTTTCAGTTGTCGTTGCAGCTTTGGTGGACTCTACTGATGTCTTGTTCTGCATCTGCTGACCTGTCGCAGGATATGCTTCGGTCACCTCTCCATTCGAGTGAAAGTTACGCTCAGTCGTTTGGAAGTGTTCTCCCGCGATGCAGCGAAGACCAGGGCTACTTGCAATCTTTGCAAAACGGTCTATTCTTACAAAGGCTAATCGACGACGGCGCTGAAAAGACATCTCGACACCAAACAGCAGTCCGAGGTGAAGCAGCAGCAACCCCAAATGCCGGCGGTGATAATTTGAACCAGCTGAAAAAAATCGAACTTAGAAAAAAATTATTCAAAAAAATAATCATATTTGCCACATCAATGAAACTCGTTAGCTCGCTCGATAGCTTGCTCGTTAGTGGAACTGATCGCTCGTTTGTTATAGATACGCTCGTTTCAACACTAATTTTTACGCTTGTGTCCCTGTACACGGCATGGAAGGTTGAACAGATTCAACTCTTCCATCGCTTCCTGATGTGTACAGTAGTGCGGTTGCGTTCCCGTTCCTGACACTCACATCCGTCTCCGCTAACCAGCATAATGAGCACTCCAATGGTTCCCGCCGCTCCTTCCGTATCGTCCCAGCGCGCCCCGTCAAGACGTGAATTACTGTAGGCAACGGAGCCAGTGTATGATGAAGGCGAATGCACTGTTTGATGATGCTCCAACAAATCCTTTCACCGTTGTACAGAATTTGTAAGAAGAGTAGTGGCTCAACTGTAGGTCCAACGCAGAAGGTACCTCACAGCGCAGTTATGTTACGTCCACAATAATGAACATACTCAGAAGACTGTGATGTGTATCAGACACACTCTGGCATTATTTGTTCCACATTCTCCCAGGAGGAGATGAAATATAGTTCAATCATGTCTTTAGTACATGGGGTACTGTTGCCTCGTTGCAACTAAACAGGTATGCAAGTTACTTTCCCATGAGACCCAGCCGGAGCCGCATCGTCGTCATTACCAGCTAATCATGAAGAGGTATAATGTGACTTTCCACCACTCCCTGATTCAATCATAGTTTGCAAGCCTGCGCCAAACTGCTTTCTTACTAGAGCCAGGCATCGGATACATATGGCTTCAGTAAGGTTTACAATGCTATGTCTCTGGCCTAGATCCAAGTCTAGATACAGCTGCTCAGAGTAAGGGCTGATGAAATGTTCATATCGGAACAAGTGAGACTTCAACAGTAGCTAGTACACATCAGGCCTGAGGACTTCGCAGCGTTTCTCCTGCACACTTGTTCTCTCCTTCAACTCAGATACTACTTGAAGTACTACTAAAGGCCATCTGGCTCTCATACTTAGTCCTTCCACCCTTCATTTTCATGGTTTAGGCTTCCACTCGTCACTCGGCAGTTTCCTGGCCTCTCCGCAGTCTGTCATCAGGAGAGGGTCGCTCTGGAGCTAGTGCAGCCGATTGAAAGGGAATCGAATTCTTTCTCAGACGTCCACAAACTTTCGTTGTGCTTCACTTCGCTTCCACTGCGGGAAAGTAGTCACACTTCAGGACCACGACGTGCTTGTTGCAGCCTACACCAATGATACTAAAATAATAACGTTATTCCCTCATTTGTCTGCCTCCCGCCCGGCCGGCTCGGAAAGGAACGTATGGAATGGGAGCCTCAGTTCCATTTCTCGTCTGCTAGTTCATTCAGGAGCGCAGCAGCGCTTCGGCATGACGATACAAGTCGAATCAAAACAACTCTACTCTCTAGCCAAAAAAACTAGCTCAGTGTTCGTCAGGCAAAAAGCGAAACTTCGAAAGTCACGAACTCAAAAGGTGGGGAAGTGCAGAGTCAGAAGGTCCACTTGCCCCGTCTCGAACCCAGACAATCTTTGTGCAAGTCATCTATTCCCGGATACAGCCTCCTGCGTAAAGATAGAGACGGTGCCCGACACTCCGCGATAGGCGGAGGACTTGCTGTTTATATTCGACAATCGCTTATGTGCCATTTCCAACGGCGGACCGACCTTGAATGCAAACTGGAGCACATTTTCGTGGAATTTATAGAATCGCAGACCAGTCGAAAGAATACATTCCACATGTTTTACAGGCCCCCTCACCGATCATCAGCAGAAAAACACGACTTTTTTGTGTCCTTCCAGTCCACCATTGCCAACGCACTGTCAGCCTCAGGCACGACAGTCATTCTCGGTGATTTCAATGCCACACTCCGACAGTGGAACGCAACAGCTGTTGATACGGCATAGGGCAAACAGCTAGCAGGATTGTTAGACGACCTTGCACTACAGCAAATTGTCCGAAACACCGCAACGCGATACTCAGCTACGGGTAGCCAGTCATCACTTCTCGACCTGGTTATCACAGACGCAGAGCATCGTATATCCGACCTTGAAGTCCTAGATCCGCGATCAGACCACTGTTAATATCTCTCAGGAAAGCACACCCCAAAGCACCCGCCGCCCCGCTTTGTACCAGACTACGCGAACACTGACTTTCAATCTCTACGACAGAAACTTTCATCTCTTCCACTCCGGGAGTGTATGCTCGGTGCTTCCACCATCGAGAGTGCGTGGTGGGCATGGGAGTCATGCATCACACAAGCCATTGCCAGCTGCTTAGCGTACAGACGAGTTTCATCTCGAAGACAGCAAACCAAGTCTTGGTTCACCCCGCATCTGCATCACCTTCATCGCCAGAAGCAGCGCCTTTTCCGTGCCGCCAAGCGCCACCAAACAGTAGCATACTGGTTAACCTACAAGGCCCAGAGGAATGCATATCAGAACCAGTTAAGAAATGCCAAGACCCTGTACTTCAAGCACCTCAGTGAGAATATTCACGATGAGCAAGATGCCCACCTTTGGTGGAAGAAAGCCAA